GTGAAAGGGTAGTGATTACATTGTATTCTTCAGTTATTCTGATTAGTCTTTTTTTTCATGTAATAACTTTCACTTTATAAATAAATCAGCCTGTTTGGACATAACATCTTGAACAGGTGAGACTTGAACCGGACCTTCTGTCCAAGAGAGAGAGTCACTATCATTGTGCCACAGAATTGCTTTAACTTCCAGTTTATATGAAGTGTCTTATTACTTCATTCTTTTCCTGAAACTTTCATTCACTCTGTCTCACACCATTCAGTCTCAATATCCCCATCTAATGAGGCAGTTGTTCTGAGGTAATTTTTAATTAATGAGGCATTTTTCCTGGTATGAATCAAGATTAACTTTTCACTTGTATAGACTAAGATTCCATTTTATACTAAGCAAGTGGCTCACTTGGGCGGAAGTTACGTACATACTGTATTTTCCAACGGAGTGTGCACAGGCTCCTGCCAGGTCACTTTGTGCTCAAGGACACACAGCCTTGTCATGCACATGCTTTAGCTTAATTTCTTACAGCTCACTCACTTTGCATTCACTTGGAAGCTTACAGTCTCTGTGGATTGCATAGCTTTTCTGCTAATGGGCAGGAAGGATTAGTAATTGTGGAGGATGAAGTGGGTGAGAATGGTTGAGTGGAAAGGCTACATGCAATAGTGAGGTTAGTAGTCCTTGTGTATTGGTGAGATTTGTGTGCAGTGGTAGAGTCAAAGTGAGTAGGAGTTAGTGCGAAGATAGTGAACCTGCTTTTGTCGAGCACAGAAGATCATTGACCTTTTTCCTGCACTGCTGTGCATTCCATCTGATGCTAAAGACAACGGTGAATCAAGCCACGATCTGTGTCCAGGTTGGTTGAGTTTGGTGCCTTGGCTTCCCTCATGGCCTTTTGAGTAAAGGATAGCCCTCCTCTCGACCAACCCATCCAGCAGCTTGGGCTTTATACAAGATACCTGTGGTTTGTATACCAGAAGGTTGTGGCAGAGGCAGGAATGTTGCCACTCCTGTGACACGATTGCTCAAGAAGGATGCTAATGAGGCCAGTTGCATAACTAATAAGGCATAGACAGGAGGCTATTGTGAGAAGAGTCATAGTGTGCCATGACAGGACATCCACCTGAAACTCCCTAAAAATAACATTGCTCAAAGTGGGAAAATCCAGTGCACTTACGGAACACTGTAAATGACATTGATGTCGAACCTAAATCTATATGATTCACAAAATTACAGTTTGGCATGGATTCAAAAGTGACTGAAAGAAGTGGATATTCATCTGTAAGTGAGTAGTGAAGTATCAAGTAGGATAGACAGGTGGAAATCTTTTGCAGAAAAGATGAGTTTTTCATAGAATAAACAAGGAAAACAAATCTCCTGTGGTTGAAGAATCAGCGATGAGGGGGAGTCACCAATTTAAAATTGATATTAGTGGAGTGAGGAGAAAAGGTGGGGCAGTTTACTTACACAGAGAGTTGTTGGTGCATCCAACCACAGGGTGTGATGGAGGGAGAGACGATTGTCTTTTTCAGTGAAAATTAGAAACATATTTTGAGCCGAGAAACAGACCAGGCAGGGGAGAGCGTGGGCAGACAGATTTATTTGAATTGCTCCAGAAAAGAACTAACAAAGAGAGACAGTGGGCTGAATAGCTTCCTTCAGAGCTACAATTTTGTATGATTCTATGACATGACTCATAGTAACATCTTCAGGACCTCTCACTCTATTCGATTCTACTGGCACCAGCTTTGGAGGATAATGAGAAAGATGACAGTGGTGGAGGGTGTCACAAAAAGAAATGACAGATAGGAGGAGAAACGAACTAATATATGCAACAAATGCATTGCAAGCACTTTGGCCAGCAACTCAACTGCGGTCAACTCATAAGAAGCTTACTGGAGTAGACCGGATCCCGGTACTCCTGCTAGAAATATTTTTATATAAGTGAGATGCACGCTGTGAATGCAGCCTTGCTCGAAATCATGGGGTTCAACTTGAGGACCTGGTTTTAATTGTTGTGTAATATTAATGAGGCTTGCGCTTGCATGTATCATTCTGCGCCACAATACTTTGTCACAATATGTGGTGCTCAGCAAATTGGACCTGCAACCTCCCACATGGCTCCAGGCTGCTGGAGGAGCCTCACAAGATCAGTCTTCTGCTTTAAGATTTCCCAAAAAAGAATATAAAAATAGCAAGTTTGTTTGAAAATTATGTGAGGCCATGCTCCTCTCAGAACAGTTACACTTTCTGTTTGGTATTGATTTAACCGGAATGCTTCTAACCAGAAAGAAAATCAAATGCTACATGTTTCCAAACCTATCAAATGTAGCTATAATTACAGTTTCCTAAAATATATGGCATGTGGTGAAAAATTAGAAATTAGTCATTGTAAGGGACTTTTTGTGAAAATAATTAGAACCAGCTTCAGTATAATGTAACGTAATAGATTAATGTTATCATTCAGAACTTCTTGGGTTTTCTATTTCAGCCAATAATTAGAATATTCTTTGCAATGAAGTAGCGGTTAACATCAATTGAAAGTACAAAATTCTAAAAAATGTGAGTCAGGGAGATTTCCCTAAATTTCAACACCTGCCCCACAGACTAAATATAATGTGAAGGGACAACAGCATCCAACATAAATAGAGCTCTAAATTAAAACCATATCAGAAAATGAATATAATTGAACATTGCTTTTGAGCTTCCATTCAGGCTGCAGAAAGCATCCGTTAAAGTTGCAGCTTGAGTCAAGCCCATGTATTCTCAAATCTGTCTCATACAATTCTCTTCTAAACACCTTTAGTTTGAAATTAAGCACTTTGCCATTAGCATGCAAAAGCTGAATGTGTTCATATGAAATTCATCTTTCCAAATTTGTTTCTCCTTTAAATGTAGCAGACAAAGGAATTTCATGCAAGCACTTGGATTTAGGTTTTTAGAACTAGTATTTGAAAAGCCCAATTTCAAGGCGATTGTGTTGTTATCAATTGAATTCTATGAAGTGCTTCAATTGACATAATGGTTGATTTTTGAAATGTCAACTTTAATCTTGTTCAGCAACTGTTTTCAGTGGCAATGTGAATACAAACTGTGATTTTGAATTGTCTGAAAATATTGTTGGTGCCATGTCTGTTTCACAGGTGTAGGGTGTCAGAACTACACTATCACATTGAATAGGACTTCTTCACAGTTGTTAAGAATGTGTGCAGATGGATGTTAAACAGTAATTAAAACTTCTAAAGTTTTAGGATCGTCGATGAAATGTGTCTGCCTCAGTCAAATGTGAAATGTGGTACAAACATTGTAAAAGAGTGAAGGAAGGTTATGGAAGTCATCATTGAGAGGATGAAGGGTGTAAGCAGAGAATATTGTTACCTTGACTATTGTAGTAAAAATATTGAATTTCTTTTGGCATAGAAGCCACAGTTTAGGAGCTGAACTCCTATATTGACCACTTTCCATTGGTGAAGGAAATATGCTGGAAAGACTCTAGCCTCAAGGGTCAATAGGTTCTCTTTCCCTCTGTTTACTGTCTGAACTTTGGTTTCCAATCAGTGGCCTACCTGGATCTCTTCCAAGTTTATTTTTCAATTTCCTAAACTTCCCTATGGCTCCTATTGAAGAGGTGCTAGTTGCATTCAAGTGGCAATGGAGACCCTTGATTCCTCTACCCATCACCCCTCTAACATGTTTTCAGCCAGTGACTACAATGGGCAGTACTAACCCTATAAGTTATTGTAATGACCAAAAATTTGACATAGACCTTGGGGTGATAGGAAAAGACACATCTATTATTTGCCACACCCTCTTTATTCTAATTCCAGTGGGGTCAATTCCAGAGGGCCAATTATGAAGAGAGATTACACAAATTAGGCTTGTCTTTCTCTAGCGTTTAGAAGGTTAAGGGTGATCTGATTGAAGTCTTCAAGATATTTATAGGGAAAAAATGGGTAGATAAAGATAAGCTATTTCTATTGGTTGGGGATTCTAGAACATTCTGAGAATTCGGTCCAGACTGTTTAGGAGTGACGTTAAGAAGCACTTTTACACAAAAAGGATGTTAGATGTTTGGAACTTTCTTCCACAAATGGCAGTAGATTCCAGAATAGTTGTTTACTTTAAATGTGAGTTAGATAAATTTTTGTTAAACAAAGGTTTTAAGGGTTATGGGCCAATTATAGGTATATGGAGTTAGGCCACAGATCAGACTTGAGGGGCTGAATGGCTTACTCCTGCTCCTGTGTTCCTATGGTGGAAAATGACAATGGGGTCAAATAAGCAATCAGTCCACAAGCCTTGCAGCCCTAAACCTGATTGGCTGGCAGCTTCAACAATCCCATCAATAAGAGTCTGTAGTGGACGTTCAATTATTCATTTCCACATGACAGATGAGAGCTGATTTTGGCACCAATCCACCTTCTGTATTTTGGAGGTGAGCTCGGGTAAGGGTGAGAAGGTGGTGGGCTGGGCTTCTGACCTATGTTATGTGTATCCTGCCCAAAATACAACCAGCATGGGCATGTAATATCCATCCCTTTAATTTCATATATAAGTTGTGAAATAATGCCATTCAATAATTAGCACTTAATTGAGGTTGACACTAAGCTAATTGACTTGAATATTATGCTGTCGTTGCCACACCACAATTGCATGAGCAGATGGGTGGGAGTGGGGAAACCGTTCTTAAGCGCAACTGGTTAAAAGGTGAAATGGAAGGAGGAGAATGTCCTTTGGGGGGGTGCCCTTTGTGTATTGTGGTCCGTCACTTCTGGCAAGGTGTTATACCACTCCTCCTTTATTTATTCCATCTTCTCTTCCATGTGAATTATGCTGAAATATCATCTGATTATGCAGTTGTTAATGTTTTTGATAATCATGGTCTGTTAAAATGCACCCAGTGACATTAATTCATGTTTGAAACTGAATATTGCTATTTTAAAAAAATTTACATTTTAATGCTTTTAGATTGTTAAATCTCAATTATACGCAAACATTTCTTTCAGATGGACAGCAGATATGGGAGGTAGAGGCGACAGTGGATAAAGATAAAAGCCAACCTGTAAGTATGAAGCTGAAAGGGCATTCTACCTCAAGTGACAGGAATCTGTTGAGGAAAGGATTTCCATTAATGTTTTATGACAGGAAGATATTGGCTGATTAAATAAATATTATTAATCCTTGTAAGTATTACAAAAATGTCAGAAACCATTAAAAAATTGCTGATAAGTTTTTGGTTTTAAATAAAGATCTTTATTCAACTGCCATTAACTAATACAGCATTTGATATAATTGAAGATAATTCAGAACTAATTAAAAATTTGCACATTTTACATCATAACATGATATTGGGCACATTAAAACAAATATTCTTTCTAGTTTAGTAGCCACTGCATTGATGTTGAATATTAGTTAGTGCTCAACTTGTGTGTAACTTCTAATATTTTGTTTAAAAGAATAGTGTGTTGTGTCATCATTATTGACCATTTACACTGCGTCCATTTTTAAAGAAGGCACTCAGTTCTATTTCTGCAGAACTGACCATAACCCCGGCCACCATCTTTATGCTGTCAGACAACTTGTTTGAAATGTAGGGCAGAATGTGGTGCCCTGCCTTTGGCAGGAGTTTTGGTGTGGGGGGGGAAGGGGTATTTAATTGGGAGATCCCTGCTTATGCCCGTGGTGTGGATGGCCTACACATTCAGCAGCAAATTGAGGCCCTTAGGTGGGTCATTAATGCCTTCTCCCTTCTCTCCTCCCTGACACCCTCCCCATGACCTACTTCCCCTACCATCATTCATATGTGGCCTGGGATCCAGCAACAACACTAAGTCTCTGGTAGGCATCACGTCAGCAGCAGCCACTACCCTCCCAATGACCACGCTGTTTCATACCGCTGCTAGCCTCTGATTGGTTGGCAGTTGTCGGTGGCTTAGGCTTCCCCTAGAGGTTTGATCATGAGGAATGGCTGCTGTCTGGTTACCTTGTGTGAATGGTGCTTAAAGTGGCATGTCTTCCATAAAAGAGGTAGCAAAGGGCTCTTCCTGGCTCTATAGGCATCGTTCAGACTCAGTCAGCATGTACAGCAACCTATTTGTCCTGGAGGTTACTTCAAACCTCACAAACTACCTAGATTCAGGCTCATGTTCACACACCCTATCAGCACCAACATTGTTCCAACACTTAATCATGTCTTTCATAGTTCTTGGTCTCTGTTTCCAGAAATTATAAATTGTTCAAAGTTTAATATCATGTCTTATACATCATTTGCTCCTGACCTTGCTCAACCTATACTAGTTCTGTATCTGTCAGCACATTCAGATTAAAATTCTCAGTCCTGCCTAATGCAGCAGAGGTTTGGGAGATCAAAGTGGTAGATTTTCCTGGAATGGGGAGACACTGTCTGAGAGGAGGCTTAGATTCCTGATCCCCGTGGCCCCAATTTTCATGAGTTAAGGTTAAGGGTGCTGACTGGTGCAGATCACAAGTCAACATTTCTGACCTGTGCAGTTCCATTGCAGGGATAAACACCTCCCAGCCCCCTGTAATTTTCGTGAAGATATGTTAAACAACTCTTGTTTCACAGTCTGTTGGAGCAGTTATGAGCTGGATGAAACTTATAAAAGATTCATTTGAAAGTTCTCACCCATGTCCCTTATGTCAGTATAAGCTCACTCACACTTGGCTCATCATACCCTCCATGACAAGTTATATCTCTCCCATACCCATTCACCCCTTGTGTACTCTGTAGAGTAATAGCGAACCTGAAAATAACAAAAGTATGTGTGAGAAAAACATTTAACAGAAAACAGTCATTCATTCAATGCTCAGCCTTTTTTTTTTTTTTTCTGATGAAGGGTCTAGGCCCGAAACGTCAGCCTCTCTGCTCCTATGATGCTGCTTGGCCTGCTGTGTTCATCCAGCCCTGCACCTTGTTGTCTCGGATTCTCCAGCATCTGCAGTTCCTACTATCTCTCATTCATTCAATGCTTTTTATTTTCCCTTAAAACTATTAAAGAACAGCCAATGAAAGTGTTAATCATCCAGATCACTTAAAATACCAATAGCAGGAACTGCCAACACTTAAAACCTTGTTAATTTGAACAAATATTATGGAATTGACAGAATATATTACAGCTAAAGAGTTGTCAAGTAAGTTTTTTCTTTCCGGGGCATAGCCATTTCAACAGGCTAACGGACTTCTGGGTTCCCAGCTGAGAATATAAAAGAAAGTTTATGAGGGGACAAGGTGAGTCTGTGGGTTTGATGAGGTGGCGTGTGTTGGCATGAATGGAGCATTGGAGTGAATGGGAGGTGAAGACAGTGAGGGCTTGAGGGCTTGATTTGCTATCTTTTTTCAATCAGGACAAAGTTCTAGGGATAGGCCCTTTAAACAGCTCACTTTAACATCTGACAGCCCCTCTGGCTTCCTCCAAACTCTTACAGGGTAGTAGGCTCAACCCGAATTATCAAGCCCCCAACAACCCAGAAATAAAACCCCACATCTGCTGGCATTTTCTCCTGAGATGGGCAAGCTGAACCAGGAAATGTCCTGACTCGTGCTGCCTGCATCCGCCAATAAATATTAATATTTGTGTCATCTGTAGACTGGATAAGAAATAAAAACCCAATTGGATGAAGTTGAATTTTTTTTAAAACATTGTCATATGGGATTTGCATGAATCCTTCAACGATAATATTTTAGACTTGTATAAAATTTCATTGATCAGCAACTCAGTGCTAAGGATGATTGATTAGATCACTTTTTTCTGTTATTCAGTCAGGCAATAGTGAAATAATGTTACTATACATAACCCTTTATTATGAGCAATATAAAGTTCTGTGAAGTTACAGAAAGATGTCAGTAGTAATAGCAATGGTAATATCTTCCACTGTAGAGTGCAATTACTTTGTTGTAGCTTATTAGTGCATTAGTGGAGCTTTTGTTTCCAGCTACCTGACAGAAAATATGAACCTAATTTAACCTAATCATATATTGTTCACACTATTAACTCTCTCAAACTCTTCATGATTATAGTTTATTTTTACTGTTATAGATGTTTGTAGAGAAACAAGTTACTTTTCTCATTCTTTTTGGAACGTTGCACAATGCAGCATCTGCTCCTATTTACTCCTCCTTAAGAGGGCAGGTTTATAATCAGCTCCGAAGGTCTCTGTCAATGGCTTTCCATAACTGAAGTCAATTGTTCTGATTTCTCATTCCCTCTGTGAAAAAATATATGGCTCCCACTCTCAGATTGAGTGCAGACTATTGTTTGAAATTTCCAATTCAGGTAATCCTGAGGACATAATGGCATTAACCACTCGACAGTACTTAGTTTCAGAATCTTTTTGGTGTCCTTTTGAAAACAATTAGAATATCACACCAGCCATTGATTACCCTTTTTGTGTTCACTGCCCTTGGTGCTGTTTTGCCTACCACAAACAAAAGACAGAGTGTCGAAACTATGACATCTTGTTGTCTCTAAGAGCTACAATGAATTACTGATTATAAAAGATCAAGAGCAATACTTCTGTGAGGATCTTGAATTTGAATTTGTTGCTACAAACAGACCAAGATGAAGGGCCTAGGCCCGAAACGTCAGCCTCTCTGCTCCTATGATGCTGCTTGGCCTGCTGTGTTCATCCAGCCCTGCACCTTGTTGTCTAGGATAGTTGTGCAGCAAGACTGACGATGTGATACGAGCTACATTCCACTGTGATCTCTGCAAATGTTGGATACAGAGTTCCTTAACATTTGCAAACAAATGAAACAGCAAAAGTTAATAATGAGCATAGCATGCATATTTTTAGATGAATGACCGCTCAGCTTTATAAGCTGACCACTACAACCACAACTTTTAAATTTTAGGTGAGGAATATACCATTAACCTGGTTGCTGGTAATTCTGATAAACATAAGCCATTTGTTTCATTTTACAGAGTTTTATAAAATGGCAAAAAGAATGATCAGGATGCCAAACAATTGCCATATGTTCATCTCCTGCTTTTTTTTTCTCTTTAGAACATTCTTTTTGTTGAAATTCCACGCTATCGGAACCAACATATCCGCACATCAGCAAAAGTGAACTTCTGTGTTGTTAATGGAAAAAGGAAAAGGAGCCAACCACAGAAATTTACATATCTCCCTGCAGGTAAATGACTTGGAGAGACATCAATGCACCTCTCGTCCTAAATATTTAATACAGCTGAACCCGGAAAGGTGTTTGGGTTCAGCCAAGTTCAGGTTGGCATTTGGATGAAACATGCTGCCCATCTGACTTACACTGGGGCATAGGAGGAGAGGAAAATCTACCCCAAGGAATTGAATTAAAAACCCAGCTGCAGTCTGAATCATGTCTCCAGGCTAACTCAATACAAATGTTGCCAAGTATTTTTTTCAGACTTCTCTAAAGCTTAAGGAAAAAGCCAAGCCACATTCAGACAAATACACATTGTGCACATTTTCTTACTCATGTGCAAGACTGGTGGTTAATTTTGCATATAGCTGAAAGTTAAAACCCAAGAAGCCTCAGTAACTCAGGGACATTTAATCAACTGGGCTTGTTCAGCAATTTTGGGTGAATTGAGTCAAATTGATTTGGATTGATTGCAATCTTCTGAGATGTTGATTAGGTTAAGTTTAGTTTGCATTGTTAGGGAGGCTACACTATGAAAGGATTGATGCCTACGTCCAGGCTGATTTGAAAATAATAATCTTACGGTTTGTTTCGAGAAACAGAGAACCAAATCTATTGTAAATTTAAATCATATTTGTTTTAATGTTTGCCGATCATCTATTGTTCAATAAGGTACTTTGTTGTTACAAACTGTGACAAGTTGAAACAAGTTGTAATATTGGAGGTGTGAGGATTAGCCTATGAAGTACAGGAAGAGTTTAGTTCCTAAAGCAATTTTCTACTAATCTGACTGGTTGTCAGAAAAATGCTGAGTTATCAGAGCCAATGAAGTTGCAGTAGAAACTTAAAGTAGGTAAACTTCAATTAAGAGAGTGATCTGAAACTCAGAAGCTGAAATATTTAGATAAAAAGAGCAGAGAGGGTCCTTAATCACTTTTAAAATGTTGCCTCAATTAGCAATAGCTTTCCTGATGTGTGTATCATTGAGTGGAATGCATTGGTCAGTATGAGACTAAACATGTAATACCATTGAATATTCTAATCATAGAATGAAAATTTGAAGATATGCTTGCATTAAAAAAAAATTGAGGTCAAAAAGGAAATTCTAAACATTGTGGATCTTGGAAGTCACATAGAATAACTTTCATATGAAATAATGTGACATTAGATGCTTTCACAGCACCTTCCAAACATATGATCACTTCCGTTTAGAAAGACAAAGACAGCAGATACATGGGAACACCATTACATTCAAGTTCCCTTCCAAGCCACTAACCATCCTGACTTTGAACTACATCACCATTCCTTGTGCCACCGAATCAAAATCCTGGAATTCCTTCCCAACTAGCATGTGGGTCTACCTACAGAACATGGACTGCAGTGACTCAAGAAAGCAGTTCACCATCATCTTCTCGTGTGCAACTAGAGACGGGCAGTAAATGGTAGCTCATCCAGTGACACCCACATCCCATGAGTAAATTTTGAAAAAGGAGACACAATCTAATTAAAGTTCTATGTGAAACATTTGAGCCTAGAAGTGTGATGGTACCATACTTGTTTTCTGGTGCTAAATAGACACTACCAACTTGATGGGCCAAAATTACAGGCTTATAATGAAGCAGAGGTATGCTGTGCCCCATATTGATCTAGGCAAAAAACAAACCTGTCCTTGAGAAGGGCATTAGGCCCTTTTGCATTTACAAATGCGAGGCTGGACACCTGTTTAAGGTCCTCCATGCGTAATGTCTCACCTTGAGCATATGTAGTCCAAGGCCGGTTTCACTCTGAAAATCAAGGTCTACATGCAAAATAACTTTAGAGGAACTGCTGCCAGTTGCCAACATAATGTTAAGATAAGAGATGTACCTGAATATGGAGCTGGGAGGTGAATGAGTATTTTTCTGGCTTCACATTTAAACCATGTGTCACTGACAGTCTCTGTGTAACTTGTCTCCTCTGCTCCTACTCACCCACCCTCCTAACATGCACCTTCCTGCCTGATTGCCTTTCCTTGAGCATTTACCTCTACAAAACCGACACAAATCAATTTATAAGCCCTGAATGTTTAAAAATCCAAATATTAAATAGATTATGTAATTTGCATTGTGGCTACATATTGCTTTTAAAATGCTAATGAGAGCTGAGAGTAAAATGTTTTTGTGTAATTTATTTCAGTGCCTATAATTAAAACAGAGCCAACAGACGAGTGTGAAGACACCATATTCTGCAACACCGTACATCACAGAACCATGTCTGAGTTTTATACTACACAACAGGTCATGACCCCTGTTATGGTCGCTAATCCCACTTCCTGTCTTGGCGGAAGCTTGGCTTCCTGTCGTACTGGATTTTCTTCACATGATTCTAAGTATCAGCAGCAGAATCCAACTGGAGTTGTCTATCAGAGATCGAAAGGTGGCAGTCCTAATCATCTTGGCTATCAACCGTCTGCTGTGATGGTGCCATCCATTCCCATAATTCAAGATGCTCACAAATCAGTATTGGTGCATGCTGGGTCACCTGTCCAGTCTTCTATGACACACCACTCTCCAACCAATCAGTCTTCCACCATAATTCATCATTCCCATAACAATCATGAGTCTTCTTCCATGATCCACAACTCTCCAACAAATCATCAATCGTCACTGATCCAACACTCCCCAACCCATCAGCAGCTACCTTCTATGATTCACCATTCACCAACCAGCCAACAGTTGAGATACAGCAGCCAGCAGGATTACCAACGCCAGGTATATTCAGAGAATGATGCCCATGTGCCCATTGTGCGGTCCACTACACCACAAGCGGTACATCACGTGCAAAAAAATAGCCCAAATCAATATGCAGCCGTGATTCAGCAACAGCAGCAAACATCCAATGCAATCCAGAAGGTTTCAAAAAATGGTGCTTCACCATCTCAGCTTCCATTGATACTGGATCAACAGGAAAAGGAAACTACAGTTACCGGAGTCACAGTGAAGCAGGAACCACAGAACCTTGACCAGGCATATCTGGATGATGGTAAGATTAAATTCCTTCATCAAATCTATTGGCTGAACTGAAGTATAAGAACATTTTCAAAGTATAAGTCAGACTTTTGAAAAAAAATAAAATTTTGGTCTCTCAACTCATCCTTTTAAAATAAAATCTCATTTGGATATCTCTCGTGTACTCGTAAAGGTGAAAGATAACAGTGTGACAGGGCTAGGAAAATTACTCCCCCTCTGGTTTTTTTAAATCATTTACAGCATCAACTTCTTCCAACTGTGAAATGTCTCTAAATTATAACCGGAATCTTCACTTCAGAGAAGTGCATTCTGTACACTATTCAGTCATATTTAATTTCCCATACTATACAGTTATATAATTATCCCTATAATTGAAACTATTTAATAGCAATAATAACAATTTTTTTCTGGACACTTGTGTTCAACCAGAAAGAAAACAGACTGAATAAATTCATTTCTTTCTTAAATGAATACTTAGCAGAAAAATACTTTTATCTATCTCAGTTAGGTACCAAGCTACGATCACTTAAATGAAAGTGCATGGGGAAAAATGCTTACCTTTTATAATAGAGATAGTAGGAACTGCCGATGCTGGAGAATCTGATTTTCTGAAGAAGGGTCTAGACCCGAAACGTCAGCTTTTCTGCTCCTCTGATGCTGCTTGGCCTGCTGTGTTCATCCAGCTCTACACGTTGTTATACCTTTTATAATACTAGTGCAACTTTCATCATATAAAATCTGTCGATTCCATCCCGGGGCTGTACTTGGCAATTAAGTGATTCATGTCATATTTATCTTTACTTTGCCCACAACCAATCTGAAAAATTGTAATTGAGTAACACAAAGCTAAAAGGTAAGGTAACAATTGGTTCATTAATCATTTTATCCCTACTTTTCTAACTGGAAAGACATTATCAGAAGAATTATTTTGGGCTTCACCGTAGTGCAGTTGCAAGCATATGAGTATGTTTCAGTAATAGGTGATTTGATGTTTGCCTAGTTCTTTCACCCAGAATCCATTGGTAATTTTCAATACCAGACTTGGGAGGCAAATAATCAGTTGTGCTCCTATTGAAAGTATTGAAAGTTTCCACAATAGTTATTTGTGCATAGGGTGGAGTCTGGGGCCTGGTCCTTAACCAATGTGTTGCCTAGCACTTTGAGCATTAGATTTCTAGCTGACGTTTGTGTTTAGTTTTTTTTTAGGATAGCTTCTAAAACACATAAACACATGCAGTTTTATTAGGTACATGAAGCTCATATAGAAAGATCTAAAAACGTGCAGTATGTGAGCTGGAAGTTTCGCTTATAACATAGTTCAAAGGTAGCAAGAAAAACATCTGGTTCATGTCCAAACCTCTACTGGAAAGACTTAGAAGCCCTAAAAGATTCCATGTGGTACATTTGCGATCTCTCCAGAATAAGTAGCTGGGTCTTTTTTTATATATAAAATATCAGTTACATTAGTTCATATTTGCAAAATGAATCAATCATAAATGGTTAACTTTTTATATATTAACAGGTATTGGCTGGTTTTGAAGTCTGCAGTGATTGAACCAGTTATAGACATCTTGTACCCAATTTTAACCTGTTTAAAACTTGAATAAACTTGAGCTCTTTTTTTAATTTCAAAATACTATCTGTGAACCTCAGTGAAAGATTGACCTGTAATTATGAACAGATGGGGTAATATGTTTAGCTTCAGTAAGATATCTTTATTCTGCATAATTATACCTGCCAGGAAGAACAGAGATGTGTCCACATCTTAGATTCTGGAAACAATTTAGCAGCCATATTTCCGAAATGCCATGTCTTGTTGACTAATGGTTATCATTCATCCAAAAAAGATCAATCAATGATCCAGATTCATATCTGGTTGTGAAAACCATGCTAAATTGATATTGCTGTTGATTGGATTCACTTCAGTTTCTGCTAGCTGAACTCCTTCACTCAAATGGAATTCAGTGTATTCACTTGCACAGTCAGCTCCTATTAGAAGATTTGTGTTTATAGACACAGTGAATAAGTCTAGCTGATTTGACACAACAGGACCTAAATACTTTACTTGCTTTCTACTTTTATGTTACTTTCACCCAAGTTAAGCTGGTCTTGTGGCCAAAATGCCTGACAATTGTTGACAAAAGCAAATCTTTGATGGAGAGCTTGAATCTGAAGTGTACTCTCATGGCAGTCAAAGGGAGACAGTCTGAAGGCTTCAATAGGAGTTTTAATATTAGTTTCACTGCAGCTGGTGCAACCAAATTTTAAGAAAAGTAACTTCCTTTGAAAGCAAGCGCATATCAAAGGCAAAAAGGGAATGCAAGGAAAGAATATCCTTAGCCAGCAGTTTGTTCAAACCTCAATCTGTGTCTGTGTTCTTCTGATCTATTTGAAACAAAATCTTTCAGGTACATATTGACCTGAGCATTCACCTGGGTACCTGCTGGAACCTTACCAAAAACCCAAGAGGATGAATATCTTTGCCTCGAAGGACAAACAAAAAGAATTGAAATAGTTCAGTAACTTTTCCTGACTTCTTTTGTGCCAAACTGGACCTGTTAATACTGGTGATTAGGTTTGTCAGAGCAGAGAGCTCTGTGTAAATTCAGAGGAGCATTCTTTTGCATTCAGTTTTTCTATCTCTGGTTGCACACCCCTTCAACCAGTAAAGATTTTGAATCTTTGATGTTTCCACCTCCATAAGCCCCAAGACTCCTCTGAAATCAAACCTAAATTATTTATGTGCGAACTTTGGTATGAGCAAGTGATTTGAACAATGGATGTATTATATCTACCCTTGCTATGTTTCCACTTAATGCCTGCATGGGTGCATTTTTTGCAGATAACAGTGGACAGTAATCGGGAGAGAGAACTCTGACTGATGTTTTGCTCCCTTGCCACTTTTGCCAGCAGAGCTGTCTGTGACAAGACCGAATAACTCAGTAATTGAGATTGGCCCCTTGGTGCCCTGTATAATTAATCTAATTCAGGAATAATCAAAACACCATTAAGTGTAATCTTAATGCTTCTGTACATGTGTACTTGCTTCTGCATGATTAAATCCCAGGATTGTTGACCCAATCTACACACTGCCAACATACTACTTTTGTATTCCCCTGTAGTTGTAGAGATGGAGATTCAGAAACCATTTCTGGAGGACTTCACTGCCACTGCAATATAAATATGTAAGATTTAACACATCAATCTAAATTACTGGCTCTCACAGCTTTGGCGTATTTAAGCTTAGAGATGATAAAAGCATAAATGAGGGTTTCAAATAGATAAACTTCAGTAGGGGTGGGTGACTGTACAGATTAGCGGTCAGTCATGATGATGGATACAAATAGCTCTGAAATTCAGTTCAGGATTGACTAAGTCACTGAGCCTGCATACTCTATGATTCTGTTAAAGACAGTAGCCATGGAATTAGGAGTTAATAGAGTCAGTGGAGAGAGTACCAAATTTGTGAAAGGGATCAAAGACAAAGGTTTTACTCTTACCAATGTTTAGTTGGAGGAAATAAAAGCTCAGTGAAGACTGGATGTTAGATAAGAAATCTGAGAACACAGATCGAAGCAGCAGAGGGGATAGCATATACGTGGAATCTGAACTTGTGACAAATGATGTTAGTGATGTACAGTATGTAGATAGAGAAGAGGAGGTGGGCAAGGGCAGATATTTTTTGAATCCTGTTGCATTAGTATATGCCCAGAAGAGAAGTCATTGCTATGGATGCTCTGGGTACAATCAGAGAGGTAAAAGTGGAGAATAGTTCCATCAAACTGATCAGTGGAGGAGAGATGTTGAAGAATGTGTGGTCAATTCTGTCAAAGGGACGTGTGAATTCAGGGTAAACCATGGCATTTAGGATATATAGTTAGTTTATAAAGTATGGCTGTGGCTGAAACCGATAACTTATAAAAATTTTCAAACAACATTTTGTCGTAAGCAGCTGAATTAAGTTTGTTAATTTTACTAGTCATGAAACAATCTAAAACAAACACCATTGACCCCACTGGACAATAGGAGCACATGAAAATAGTCAAGTATGTAATTATGACATTAACCTAATAAATATAACTATATCAAATACCTGAATTCTTTTACCATAGAAATCCAGAATAATATTCAGTTTGTTTATAATTGCTCATGTTCAATATAACGTTATTGTTGTGGAATAAAAAGGATTCAAACAGCATGGTGATCATATGTATGCAGTTGATCATAATACAAACCTTATGTGAATAGTAAGCCTGTTATTTATATGTTGGATTATAATGCCACAGTCAAATCTCATTATAGCACATTCTGTTGCTACAAAGCATCCATTATAATGAACCACTCCCAAGTATTTGTTGAAGCTCCATTTACATTGAGTAGAAAATATCAAGCCTCAAAAAAGCAATCCTTTGAAAAGGATAAGTTGTCACTTCCCATGAGTTTGCAATTTTTAAGTTTGACTGGTTATGTGATAGTTATTTTTATATCTATGGATAATACCTTGGCAGCAGCGTTGATCAAAAATAGTGGGCAAGTTATTATTCAGGAATATTATTGCTACAATTCTGTATTTAATGCAAATTCTACCAATGTTAATGAGATATCTAAATCTGCAATAGCTGTAATGCTATGACTTAAGTGAGTGGGAAAGAGATAATATAGTTTAACAATGTTGTTAATAAGACTTTATTTGAAGATATTTATACTTTAGTAGTGAAAACTGAGTACTGGGTTTGTGAGTGGATGTTATTGTTGCTGACTTTTGCTCTGCATGCGTAGTTCCTTCAAATAATGGATAGGAATTTTGAGTGAAAGGAGAATCTATCATTAGTGTAAAAAGCCTTTACAATTGTCTTTGCAACAATCAAGCTAGTAAAGTTAGTCGTTCTCACTTCCTTTCATATTGTGAACATTTGATTTTTCCTCTGTTCATTATAATTTTAAATTTTTAACTGAGAAGCCTTTATGACAGGTCAAAGTCTGCAATACAGGATACAAAGGGGAATGCAACCA